AGCTCCTTGTGAAAGAGTTACCTAATTCAGCCGCCAGCAGTAATGACAGCTTTACTGTGTTCCGGTTTTGAAGGGTGAGGGGTGCTGGTGAAAGTGCAGGCACATGACTTGTCAACTTATATCTTAGGGTTATGACGGTCGCAGTGGCAGTGCGGCATTGCAACTGTTATGGACAGACGTGTAGCTTACCAACAGGTAGTGTAGCTTACAATAAGACGTATAATGTATGCAAGAGAAAACACACGTGATGCCCATTACACATGACATTAACATTTTAATACAGCATGAAAAAAGGTCAAACCTGTATATTATTCCCAGCTTAGCCTACACTGCGTCTTTGACACATTTTTACATTGGTGCCACAAATTTACATGCGCGTGCGAAGTCGCCCGCAGCTCGTTTGTTATTTTAATATCGACCTCGTAATGTAATCCATAACTAAAGACAGACAATTTATACAATTTACCGACTTCTTTTCGTGATTGCTACACATTGGAAAAGGGACTATGTTTTCGGATTTCAATCGCCTGTGTTTGATTTTTCAAACACTTTTCACTTTTTTCTACAAATTCCAAGCAGACTGCTTGCCCTTGAGGTCTACGATGAACGAGCTCGGCCAGAAGATACCTATTCAGTCACACATTAAGGCAGATAGATCATAGATAGATTATTGTTTTAGATTTTAGATGAGGTATGGGGATCGTTCCCAGCGCCTCGCAATCCGCGCGCCTAAAATTAATGTGAATAAAATAAGAACAAGCGGAGGATTTTGACTTAGATCCGACGTTGGCAAGTGCCCGATGGTGACTGACGGGGCAGCGGGCGTTACGGCGTGTCGTTAAACCGCTGGGCAATTTTCACGTTTTGGGATAAATACGAATTTAATAACTATAGGACTTTGAAAACCAAAATCTAGCAGGTTCTCTTTAGCATTTAAAAAGAAAAATCTCCACGTTACAGTTATGTGTAAAGTTAGATATTTTATTCTTAAATAATTAGTTTTACACTTATATTTTATTCTGTTTTCGGGATTTTATATGTTCGAGAAAAGTACATCCTGTCGTATAACGAATTCGCACATTCTTTAGACTATATCCTTAGATGTATCGTATATTCTTTGTAACACCATTATATAATAGTAAATAAATAAAAAATTGATCTCTTCCCGTTTTTCCTCCGGTAACTTTCCTTAAAGATATTCTCGGAAACCCAGTTGCAGGCAGGGAATTCCATTCCTGTGCTGTGCGCATAATAATAGATGACGAAAAGCGCTTAATACGCCTGAAGAACTGCCTCCATGGTTGAACAGTTACCATGCCGGACTGCCACGCAGTGGTCCCAGGTTCGATTCCCGGGCCGGGAGAAATATTTATATGGCCTACATTTATTTATCTCGTGAGTTTGGGTGTAATTTGTGGTTGTCTATGTGTGTGTAAATAGCACCCGCTACACAGGGTTTCCCTAGTGCGAGGCTATGTTGAGTGTGTATGTTATTATTATAAAAAAAAGAAAAAAAAGAAGGCAATTTGTAATTTTTGTGGTTTGTTTGTATCAAGTAAGGATGACATCCCGCCGTATTACTCATTAATATGTTTTATTTTTATTTTATTTTCTATTTTCCTTTTATTTCATAAATTTAATTTAGTAAAAAAGAAACATTGTTAAAATAAATATTTAGCAAATCGTATAATGAGTAAATTGGAATATCCTTTAGTAAATTCAAAATAAAGTATTTAAATTAATAACATTTGTAACTCACAAAGTCCTCGGCGATCTCCGTGGGCGAGTGGCTCGCACACCGGTTTTCATGGTGTAGCCATCTCTGCGGTCCCGTGTACGATTGCCTAGTGGGTCAATGTAGGAACTAAACTTCCTATATTGTCTCGGGTCTTCCATAACACAACTGCTTTAGTTACTTACTTTGGGATCAGAGCAACGTATGTTGTCTAATATTTATAATTTATTTATTATAACAAATGACGACCATTCAGAATAGGGCTGTTTCCAATAATAGTAGTCAGCCATGGGCATGGGAGTCGCAGTCGAGCGCCTAGTAAAAGAATTCGTCCAGGGAAGTACTGCCACCTTACCTATTTCCGCCGCCAACCAGTACTGTGAACATTACTGCGTTTCGGTTTCGAAGGGTAAGGGTGCTGGCGAAATTACAGGCACATGGGACTTGTCAACTTATATCTCAGGGTAACAGTGCCCCACAGATCTTTGTGATTTAAAGCTCTGAGTGGCACTGCAACTGGTATGGACAGTTGAATGTTCGACCAGCCACTTGGTATCATAAAAAATGAACTAACACCGTGACTTCAAAGACTTTTCGAAGATGTGAAATCACTGCTAATATACATTAGGTCCGTGTAATGTCCTATGACCTGAAACCTGGCCTGGGATATATCACAGGTGCAGTAATTATTGCGCTTAATCGACTGCAGATAGTAATTCAAAGTCATTATGTTTACAAAAAGACTGAAAAATGTTAACAATTCATTGGAAGACAAGTGCCATTGTTTGATAAGGAACGTGTGTAGGTAAATAAAATAAACGGAAATACAGACTTTTTGCTTTTTATTCACCTTTTACTTTTGACTGATAAATGCGAACACACACCTTTGTTTAAGGACGGCTGCAACGATAGCTATCGATTCACATGTTGAATTTGAAATTGAATTGGTTGAAAACAAAGGCGACGGATAGATCAAAGAAAATAATGGCTGTTTAAGGCGATTTATTTCAACGTGAGCCTAGATTTTAGGAGTTAAGGTGTGATGGGTCGCACAAAGTTTCACACAGAGCCGACGTCGACAAGTGCCCGATGGCGACTGACGCAGCAGTGGGCAGCGCGGCGTGTCGTTAAACCGCTGTGCTATTTGCAAAGCCCTCTCGACGTGGCCAAGCCAGCGAAGTCGGACTGATTTGGTCTCTCCCATGATGAGGCTCCTTTATGAAATTCTCGATCTCCAGATTTCTCCTCAATCGCCAGGTTCCATCTTCTTCCCTAGTTGGTCCCAGAATCTTACTAAAGATTTTACTCTCCGCCACTAAGAGCTTGTTCTCCTCCTTCAACGTCAGCGTCCAGGCGTCGCATCCATTCATCAAGGTTGATCTAACTGTCTTATATACCCGACTCTTAGTTCTCCTACTAATTGCGTTTCGGGCACAGATGTTAGTTTCTTCATGCCTCTGGTTGGTATCGGTCACTGTGCATCCAAGATACTTAAATTTATACACTGTATTTTGATCTAGCAAAACAGTTTTTCCGGCTTCACTTTCGGTGACTCGCCATAAGTGAAATAATAGATGAGGGATGATAGAGATAACGGAAGAAGACGTACTGCGCGAATCCCAAATCATGTGCAAGGGCAGATAGACAATGACGATGTTGGATGTTTGATTGATGATTATCTGCAATGACAGGTTTCCTATCATGGTATGACTTTTTTAAAATAAGAGAGACAGATATGTCTATTTCTAAAGTTGTCATCTGCCACTGCTAGTCTGTCAACCCGTGACAATGGAGCGTGTAATAATCATTTATTTATTTAGTTATTTATTGCAAGGGAAAACACAAAAACATATTTAGTAACAAGGAAAACACAAACAAAAAGTCGGCATGTTTCAAAAAGAAATTACTTCCTGCAGATCTAAATAAAAGGACATAAATATTACAATAACAGGTTTCCGTTCACAACAAAACAAATATTATGTAATAAAAAAAAATAACAAAAACGTTAAATTATTAAAACTATAAATTTATTTATAATGTTCATAGTGTTATACTATATTATAGTAGCAGGTATATACATAAAAAAAGTAAGGAAGTTTATAAACAGAAAATTTCGTCGAGGGCCGTACCCTAAGGGCATCGTGCCCAGAAAACTGGCAACATTTCGCCTTTGAATTGTTAAACTTATTCTTTGGCGGAAATAAATGCCAGCCTTGTGGTTACCGGAGGCTTCTACGAGGCGATCCGACAGTTGGTTCGCTACAAGTTTCGCCTGTGGCCCCCAAGGATCCAGGGTTTCAACCGCAACCACAAAGCTGTAGCACTGAGCAAGCCTGGCGTATTTGAGACTTTTGCGGATTTCGGACACTCTGGCCACAGAGCCTGCGCCACCCTTGCTTGCAAGGAAATAGGAAATAGGGGGGCTACAGTGTCCACACAGGTTGCGACTCACACTAGCTGTCTCTCTAGCTTCCACTGACTGTCATACCGTCAGGCCTCTTACCGTCCCTGCGACAGATGCCAGGGGGCTCGAAAACTGCCGGTACCTTAGCGCTGGTCAAGGCCCGTACGATGATGCTATGAAGCGCTGCGTATCGGAATATGCGCTCAGCGCATCGACTACATAACAAAACTATATGAATAGTTAGATAAATTCATATGTCATATATAATACCTGTAAAATGGATGAACAGTCGTTAAATAGAACTCCTTAATTCGCATTTTGAAAATAGCTCAGGCTTTACTATCATGAACAGTAATGGGAAGTGAGTTCCAAACTCAGACTGCATGAACAGTGAAGGAGTGAGAATAAAAACCGGAATTGAAGGATGGAAAAGATAACTGATCATTTAGTGAATAACCAAAAGAACTTCTTGTGGAAGAGTTCGTCCAGAGAGGTACTACCATCTTACCTATTTCTGTCGCCAAACAGTAATGTGAACATTACTGTGTTCCGGTTTTGAAGGGTAAGACTGCTGGCAAAATTACAGGCACATGGGACTTGTCAACTTATGTCTCAAGGTTACGGGCGCTGTGGCAGTGCCGCTCAGATCTTTGCGATTTAAAGCTCTGAGTGGCACTGCAACTGTTATGGACATCACATAAAAAAATTACTACTATTGTAATATTTCTATAAGTTTTATTTATGTATAATTTAACTATGTTACCATGCACGCATTCCTTCCTTGTGCGGCATGAGACAGGGACCAAAGTTTATTGTATGGTATAACTACTTACTACAATGTATACTTCTTTGAAATTCCAGGAGTAGGCGTGATAGACTTCGAGTCCTGGCGGCCGATACTGCGTCAGAATTTCGGCAATCTTGCGCCGTACAAGAACTTCTCATATGACATCGAAAGGGACAACCACCCCTGGTGGTTCGAGAAAACAATTAAGGCTGAGGTATGTTACTTGCTTTTACGTCTTACTACATACGGGTCACTGCTCACCACGAGTCTTTTTCAAGGAGAGGATTTAGAGAATAAATAGTATACTGTGCTATAATTTCACGGAACTACAAGATGAAACTGTATATAATTAAAAACGACTCAGAAATGCCAGCTCTCTGGTACTTCTCAATTAAGAGCCAGTGACGCAAGCACCACCTCATTTACAAATAGTATACATATAAGACTCAATTACTTATAAATAAATTGATTGTATATCCCGTTATGTGTCCTGGAGAGACACGGTGTCTCTAATATGCAGCTGTTTCTCATCCAACATTTTCTCTTTAATTGGTTTTTTTTTTTACAAAAATCGTAAGGGACTCATTCCCAATTGTTTTTACCACAATTTGACTAACAATCAAAAGAACGCCGTACGTTCTTTGTGATACGGTTGATTATTGTTGATAATTATGCATTATTTTCGATCATTTTAACGCTGATCGTGTCTGGGGAGATAACAATAAAGTATAAGCTCTCATTAGGCGATTGTATGTAATCAAAACAAAGCACCAGACAAAGCTCTGTTCATTCGGTAATTAAGACGGCCCTTTAATCAAGTATTGCAGTGCATTGTGACGTAGTGTAGTGGAGAAGCAGTAAGTTATATATCAGACCAATATAACGAAATTGACATAAGCTTTAACAAAATTAACTGAAATGATATAAAGGGCAAATTAATTATTGGTGATAAATCGAAGTGAAAGTTAAATAATTCATTTGTATGTCACAGTAAAAGCACAATCAAAGTTGGCAGATAATTGAAAGTATCAAGTGACACCCTGTAAGGGCATAGCAAATTACAGACGGATTTTTGTTATAATAGATTAATAAATTTAGACTAACAAAAATAGATATTTGAAACAATTCCAATGCACGCATTTAATTATGATTTAATGTACTTAATTTATAATTACATTGATTATATATGTCGGAGTTAAGATCGGAAACGGACGTTAAAAACGATTCAAAATATCACGTGGTAAGACGAGGCGGTACACGTCTTCACTATCCAAGCAACTTACACAAAAAACCCCCTCTCTCCGACCATACCCAGTTTGAACTGTCAAACTGACGTGACATATTGCAAACAAAGAAACCATGATCGAGACTGGTTAAAATTATTCGTAGGTAGCCTAGTAAATCGTTTATCTAATAAATTACGTTTGAAGTGATACCTGGCACCGACATATATATCAGCAACCCTTTTAGTAGCAGAAAAACAACTTGTGAAATAGTTCGTCCAATTGCCACATTACCTATTTCTGCCGTCAAGCTATAATATGAACATTACTGCGTTCCCGTTTGGAAGGTTAAGGGTGCTGGTGAAATTACAGCCACATGGAGTTTGTCAACTTATGTCTCAGGGTGACGGGCACTGTGGCGGTGCCCCTCAGATCTGTGTGATTTAAAGCTCTGATTGGTATGGCACCTGTTATGAAATGTTTACAACGTTCGGCATTTCTCTACGTGATCGAATCAGAAATGACGAGATCCGTAGAAAAACGAAAGTTACCGACAAAGCAAATAGCTCGTAGAACTGACGGCCGTTGGGGCAAAAAGGTTCTCGAATTGTGACCACGAACCGGAAGGCGTACAGTAGGACGGCCCCCTACTAGATGGACGGATGACCTGATAAGGGCGGCGAGTAACCAATGGATGCACGTAGCGTTCGACCGGCCAGTCTGGCAATCTTTGCGGAGACCTATGTTCAGCAGTGGATATGATGATGATCATTGTAATATTTAATTCAAACATCTTACTTAGATCGAGACTACCTGCAAGAGCTAAACGGGTCATTACCACGGTTTTTTGTCATCCAAGTACGCAGGAGCTATGTAAAACCTTTAGTTTAAAGTTTTCGTTTCATCTCGTAAATGGCAAATTTTGAATATCAATCGGTATCTTATTGTAGAAGCGTATACATTGCCCTCTAAATGATATTGAAGCTTTGTGAAGACGACTGTCAAAACAGCTAATTTATTTCTATTCCTCGTATTAATGTTATATCTATCACGATTTTTTATAAAATTAATATAAATATTAATAATGATAAACCAAAACGGTTGATAATCCCTGGCTACAATAGTCTGAGATAGTACTATTAGTAAGTAGTAATAGTCTGTACACGTGTAAGATAAGATGTTTAATAAGTACTCTATGCTCCAGTACTATGCTGCTTAAGTAGCTCAATTAAACATACGTACTTTGTACACGTACTTGTACATAAAGTTTATTGAATTTCTTCATAATAAGATGACTAACTGCATAATCGTGTCCTATGCTTCAGCATCACCCTGCTGTGACCTAAATGTTGGGCACTTAATATTATTGCGCAATTACAAGAGATACAATGATTTCACTTGCGTCATCTTGGTACATGGCACATGTGCGTTGCTGTCACAGCGATTTGAATTAACGAAAAATTAGATCATATTGACTTTATCATGGGTCTACCCACATTCTCTGTCCGACTTTCGTCCGACACGATTACTGTCAAACAAAGAAATCTAGTCCGCAAACGCTAAGTGAGGCAAATTGAAGCGCTCCCAATGGGCCTACACGAGCGGGCGGGCCGTCAGTGCTCAAGGTCAACTTGCACTGCGAACAGCTCAAGAATTTTAGCTAAAAATGACGAAATGTGCGGTAAATGAATGTAAAAATACGTCAGACAAACACAAAATAGATACTAACATCACATTCCACAAGGAAGTAACGCGTTTCAACTTGTATTTTTATATAAATATTCACATTAAACCGAAAATTAACCTACTATTAAAACTAGCCTACATGAATTTGATTTTTGCCTCACTTGTGACGGTTCGTTTGATATGTAACTATCATTCTATGCGTTATTATTCTAAGCTGTCAAATAAGTAATACTCGACGTCTTTATTAGCATCTTTCGTAGTTACTCCTTTATGGAGTAAGCGAAAGCGATACATAATTCGACGACCTCTGTGGTCGAGTGGCTTGTACACCAGTTTTCACGGTGTACCCATCTGTAAGGTCCCGGAATCGATCCCCATACGGGTCGATGTAGAAAAGTTAGTTTTCTTGGTACCGTCGTTATTTGCAATTTCCATAACACTAGTGCTTTAGTTATTTTTTTTTAGGATTCAGTAAGGGTGCTGGCAAAATTACAGGTACATGGGACTTTTCAACTTAAGTCTCAGGGTGACGGGCGCAGAGGCCGAGCACCTCAGATCTTTGCAATTTCAAGCTCTGAATGGCACTGCAAGTGTCATGGACAGGCGTGTAGCTTACCATCAGGTGCACGATTTGTTCGTCCCGTTACTTGATAGTCCATAACCGTGGACCAATAAATAAAGAGGATAGCTAATCTCCATACTGCAGATCGTAACTCTGAAAAAGATCAACATCTCGTGTTATATTATTTAACAGGGCGTGGATATTAATTAATTATTCTTTAATATATAAGAAGTCAGTTGTTTCCATGGAATATTATTTAAATATTGATTGATCATGAGCAAAAATTTTTTTTCGGAACTTTGGCAAATATGCGTGTCAATAGATGGCATTGTGTGTTATAAAATAATTTATAAATTAACGCTTCCTAATATGGGTAGATGGCGTTAATCCTCAATATATAAAACAAATAGCCGACTTTTGTTAGTTACTCAATGCTACTACAATATTGATATTTTTTACTTGATAGCATAAAATGTGAAATTTAACTATAGTATGTTATATCGAGTTCTTAGGTTTTCGCGATTGTTACACATAGGAAATGAAACTATTTTTCCGGATTTAAATCGCGTATATTTGTTTTTTCAAACAAATCGACGTTTCGGGCCCTTTACAGGTCCCATGGTCACGGTTGACTGAAGTGACTCAGATCGATTTAAATCCGGAAAAATAGTTTCATTTCCTATAGTATGTTATATTTTGACTTCCTATTTGCTGGTTAAATTCCAATTGTTATTGTTTGTTTATGCTATTATATTAATTTAACTTTCAGTACAAGCTACATCAGAAGTGAAATAAGAATTGTGTAAAATATTCGCATGCCAATGCTTGATGAATTGCACAATCCAAAATAGTATGCTATGTTAAACTACTCTCTTTGTAAACTACATTTTTCAGCGAATTTCTTGCATTCACGTATCCATAAAAATCTGTGCAATAAACACTATCTAATTAATTCGTTTGTTATCACTAGAAATTAGAGTAGCTTTGATGAATTGCAGCTCGTAAATGTAGAACATATTAGTTACAAAAATAGCTATTTGGTACTCGTCGCGACATCTGGTGCAATAACAGGTACTAAACACCCGACTTCTTATTGTTTTTGGTCCATGCCATAACTAACGTAATCGACATTCAGCGAAATTGAGTTTTTGACATATCTGGCATCATTGAAAGGATTCCTACAATCCCCTCTAATCGGTTTTTTTTTATCTGATTTACTTTCAGTTTTATTGTTAAGTAAAATAACGCACACACTCAACATAGCCCCGCACTATGGAAAACCTGTGTTGCAGGTGCCATGGACACACACATAGTCAACCACAAATTAAACCCAAACTCACGAGAGAAATAAATGTAGGCCGTTCGGCCACGGAGGCAGTTAATAAAAAAAAAGTAAATTGTAATTTTTTTAGGCGACAATAAAACTTTGAATGCCAAAATCTTGAAAATTACCGATATGCAAATGTGTTAGTTATGATAGAGAAGGTCGAACTATTGTCTGTACGTCACACTTAAAGTATTTATCTTTTCCCAATTTCAGGCAAAACGACGCTTCGAAACAGCCGGCAAACAATTCATGCAGCAAACACTGGAGTTAGCGAAGCAATTACGACCAAACGCCTTGTGGGGCTACTACGCGTACCCCTACTGCTTCAACATGGGGAGAGATATGCAGGAAAGATGTTCCAACGTCGTTCAAAAGGAGAATGACGAGTGAGTATATTATCAAACACTTTTTTAATCTACTGCCAACGCGTCTATCCGAAGCAGATTGGGCACAAGAAGCAAACATTCGACTTAGTGAAGCAAATGCGACCAAACGCGTCGGGCTACTTCACGTACTCCAGCTTGAATATAGTCAAGGATCTGTAAGACATTTAGTCTAACCATAGTATAATAAGTAAGGTACAAACGTAGCAGAGCGGCTTGCATGTGTGCGCGCCCGCCACGCCTTGTACGGACGCACACATTCGCGTAATCTCGCGGTGCATTCATTGCACAGCACGAGTCGCACGCGCCATTTATTATAAAACTGAAGCGGCCGCTCGGCGTTTCAAATATTTAAAATAATTTATTGTGTCAAATGTATAATTTTTGTCACGTCACGTGTTTGATAACAACTCATTAATTCAATACATATTGAGTTAATTCAATATAGCACGTTTTTTTGGAATACCTTATTTTTTTCAAATTGTTACCATTGGTCTAACATTATCCGATCGTTACTTTTGTACAATTTATTTACAGATTGTTGCCATAACGGTAATAGTGACTTCTATGTCCAAAGATCGTCTGGTTATGTAGGTACACAGAAGATTACCGCCCTCCGTACTGCGTACCTATGTCTATTGTAGATCAGTAGTGTCTGATTATGTGTACTCAGGTGTGATATAATAATATATTAGGAATAATACTTACGCACAGAGACACCGATGCAAGTCTGAGCATACTGCAAATACGTTTGCTGATATTTCGGTAGCAATTGTACGTAGATAAATCTTACTTCTGAAAGAACATTTATTAACTGTTTATATTCTATAACAACAAAAATATGGCATAAGTATAACTGTTTCCTTTATCGTTTTTCAGGATCTCCTGGCTATGGAAGCAATCAACAGCATTGTTCCCTTCCGTGTACAGCAGCAAGACCTTCACAACAAGCCAGGTGGTCTCCATGATTAGGGGCCGGGTGGCTGAAGCCGCCAGGATCAGAACCGGAGATCAACCCATATTGCCTTATTTTTGGTATCGATATCGGGATGGAGAATATTTGAAGGAGGTTAATATTGTAGTTTAACTTTTGTAGTTTAACTTTTGTAGTTTAACTTCATTTAAAAATGTACAGCTGGAAAGACGGTGTTACCAAAAACTAACCTCAACTGAAGACCAAAAGTGAGAAGTGACGAAATAGCTGGGAAACTGGACAAGGGAATATGGACAGACTTGTTTTGGACTCCTAAGCTAGGACACACCTACTTTTGAAATACGCAATATAATAAATTAGTAATTATAGTCTTTTTCCGAACTTCAGGTAGATCTACGGGCAGCGCTCAAAACATTCTACAATTCAGAAGCTTCAGGTTTTATCATCTGGGGAAGCTCTGACGACGTCAAAACGGTCGATAAATGCAAAAACCTTTTGCACTATATTGACACTATTTTTGGACCAGCTATCGCAAAATACACCAAGAAAATTGATAATGTAAGCCCAAGTACAGATAATAATTCGAATAATGAAATTAACATTTCCACGACTCGTACACAAGAAGTTCACAATAATAATTTCGGAAATGGAGTAGCAAAAGACAATAAAACTACGATCGATGATGATAGGCATCATATTGAAGTCATAAAAGCATTAGATATGAGACCAGAGATCGCCGATGAATTGAATCATACTTTATGGAGAAATGTCAATATGACTGTATTAGACGCTATAGTGCAGACATGGTTACTTAATTTAGACAACAAAGATCCTAACAAGTTTGTCAAAACAAAAAATATGACTATTACAAAACATATGTCAAGTGGTACTTCAAATGATGCTTTTAATGTTACTTATACAAATGTTAGTATTTACGCCACTGAAAATCCTATTAATAATAAAGTTACAAAAGATATTACTAAAATCAATACTTTAACGGAATCTCCGATTAGGGAAGACGAGTCAATAAGCTTAGATAGAGAAGTAACACCTAGAAAAAACCTGAATATTACTTACATAAGTAAAAATTTAAAGAAAGGACTCCCTAAATTGAATTTATCAGAAATTTCAAAAGATAGGGAATCAGGTGAAGATTTTCCTGTAAAACTTAATACTACACAAACATTCAATTCTAAAAATAAAAAGAAAGGATTACCAAAATCAAATCCTACGCCAGTAACTAATATAGTTCTTCCAAGCGCTACAACTGCTTTTACAAATGAAGCCGAGATAGTAACAACCACAGAAATGTCGACTGAAGGCAATCTGAGTAAGGAGGAAAAAAAAGGAAGATTAAAATTTGAGGATTTAGAATCCACCGATGTAAGTCAAGTTTCGGAAGAAACGTACGTCGAACCGTCAGACGATTTAAAAAGTTACGATAATAAATATTTGAAGAACGGACTGATGGCACTTCAACCAAAATCAGAAATAGTACACAACTTTCTAGATCTCAGTAAGGAGGGATTAAATCAAGATTCAAAAAAATATATAAAAAAAGGACTATCGAAATCGTATTCTATACGCCGCCACGAAACGGCAACAGGAAAAGCAGAACTAGATATTGCTTATGAAGGGGAACCAACGGAACAGTATGCTATACATGTCACAACTGAAAACGTAACAATAAACACAGAAGAAAATGTAACAGTAACGACAGAAGAAATTACGAATTCAACTGTACAGCTGTATACAGGAATAACTAGGGACGAAGTCACACAAAGTGATGATATTGAGTCTAGAACATTAACCAATATAGCAAAGAGTTTAATATTAACGACAGATAAAGTGGAACTTTTACAAGTTGCAAAAAAAGGTGTGGAGAGAAGTGTAGACGATGCAGAAGAAAAATCAGAAGATAGTCTTGATTCGGAAAAAGAACAGGTGGTTGGCTATGTTTAATATTGTTATATTGATTTGTGAAAGGTTCAGAAAAAATCAGTTAAATTAACTTGTAATTGTAAATATGCAAATTTTCTTCTTTCAATGACGTGATTTGAAGCTTAGATGCTGACCTATGGACCCTGCGCTGGTTTCTTTTCCATACTGTAGTATGATAATGGTTTTGACTAACTTGTGAAACTAATTAAAATCTCCGATGTATTTTATAAAACAAACTCTTTTTCAGAACCTTTCATTTTCTTGTTTGCTTGCTAACCCACGTTGTTTACATAGATGTTTGTGTTTCTAATCACTATTAAGCTTTCTACGCTCTTAATAAATAAATTCAAAATTATCTTTGCACAAACGCTAATTTAGTGCAAGATTCAATACATTTTTGTTTTCCAGAAACGTTTTAACATAAACTAACAACATTTCGAAATGTAATACGTCTTTCATCTTGCCGAAATTATTATATAATTTTGGTCATTCTTTACTACTGTGACATTAATATTTTACTACTTAACTCCATGTATTACTGCCATTTTAATCAGTTAAACTTGCTATTAGTTTTGCAAAATTGTTTTTTTTTTGCTTCTACCAATATCGTCTCTATTTTGTCGTTTATATGTGTCATAATAATTTCATTTGTTCTTATGCTATTTGCTTATAAATTATCTGTTTTGTAAACTAACATCATAATTATTTCTCTATTTTCTCTTTCATAGGTGTCCAGATCGCAGTCTCTTCGGCCACGATATATGTTCTGTTTCATATTCTACTTTTATTCTTTTTCCAAATGTTTGTGTGACACTTTTGGAGTTTGCCTTAATATATAACGCTAGGTGGGTTACTAAGGGAACATCATTGCAAGAGGCGCCACTATCCGTACTTGTCAGACAGTTTTAATTAATGTAATACGATTGGCCTGTTTTGAATTATGCTTTTCAATTTCACGTGATAATAACGCCAAGTGATTGGTAGTACATAGTAAGCTGATTAGTAAATTAATTAATTTCAAGTTCTACTCGAACTTCGCGTTAATTGAAAACTGGTGTTCATTCTCACATTGAAGCAGCCAACAAGTTTAATTAGCCGTTCAAATACATTTAAAAAGCGGCGCCATTTAACAAACCACCTGCCCAATATTTAGCCAATACAACAGACCTATGTCTATATCGTTCAAAAACCACCTTTGATTCTCCCATCTTAACGAATTATTTTGCTTCTTTAAATTTTGTGACCATATCATATCGTTTTAATATGATCGTTTTTGAAATGAAAAACACAATATGGCGTACCCTCTGAAAAGTCAGAGGTTTTTTACATAAACCCAGGCTGTTCAAGGCGTTCACAATCACTCACATAATCGAATAATATCAAACATGAACCCACCGTCTATTAGGTTAGTGTCCAAGTTCTTCAGCCGGCCATCCATACCAGAGCAAGCCGGTGTTATAAAAGGTTTTTTTTCACCACTTTACATAGATATATCTTAGTAGGATATTTGACTCGACATACAAATATATACTGAGGCCGAATCCTTAGCTAGTTTTTAATTATATGCATTAGTATCAGAGATGGTTGACGATGACTCCATCGACAAAAGCCCAGATCCTAAATAAGAAAAAAGTAACAGATATATTATTAATGGGTAAAGCTAGTAGTGGACAGATGTTCCATCTTTAAAAAAAAGGTCATAATCATGTAACTTGTACGGTATCATACAGATAAGACGTCATAAATAAGATGCGTCTATTTCAAAGTCCTGATTTCTAAATCCTTAACATCAACTTCCATAAATTCTCATATTTTATTTTTCTAAGAATTGTGTTTTTATAATTTACCATTCATTTTTTTAATGTTGATTTTTCAATATTTGTTATAGGTCAAATACCCTATTATAGTATTCGTATTATATCCATGTTAATGTCTATTCGGTATTGAACAGTCTTTATGGTGACTAACAAAATATTTTATCTGTGATATTAATTAAAAAAATATATTAAGTTGTTGTAAATATTATCACTGCTATGTAACTAACTTATTAGTTAATGGTTATTAAATGTCAGTATTTTTAGTTTATTATTTTGTTTTATTTCCTTCTCGTTAAAATATGGTTCATAAAATGCTTTACATTCTGAAGCCCGCAATGCTATCGTCGAATAATCTGATATAATTATCAATAGACAGAAAGAATACTTACGAAAAATTCAAGCTAACTGTGTCAGGCGCTATGCTAAGTAAACCACGGAACGAACCAGCGGGCCTTACGATTTTTTTATGTGTTGCAGATATTTGTTTTGATTTTTTAACGACTTTTTGCCGCAGCGCGAACTATCAGAAATCTATTTCTTCACTCAGCCAGGTACCTTTACAGCTACCAGCAGCTGACAGGAGACATCGCTTTAATATTTGTAATTAAGTTTATTGAATTGCAGGATGTTTATCTACCATGATATTCAATTATTTTTTATGAAATTACCCCACTAGTTTGTTATAATTATTAATACAAAGATCGAACACTTAGAAAAAATTCCTTTGATCCCGCTGAATTCGAACTAACGTCTTCTAGCAAACCGTGCCAGACGTTACACCAACTAAGCCACGGAGGAAACCAGCGAACCTTACAAATTTTTCCTAAGTGTTCGATCAACTAGTGGAGTAATTCCACAAAAAATAATTGAACATACCATTGTGGTAAAACATCCTGAAATTCAATAAAACTTAATTTTCTTTAATTAAATTTTTATTGAACTGATATTCAATTATCTAATCTCTCGCCAGGACTGGTAGCTGTAAAGGTACTAACTGGGTGATAAATCTGTCATAGATTTCTCATAGATGGCGCTACGACTAAAAAGTCGTTGAAAGACCAAGTACAAAGACACGACGCAAGCACATAGAAAAATTCGTGAGGTCCGTTGGTTCGTTCCGTGGCTTAGTTGGTATAGCGTCTGACACGGTATGCAAGAAGACGACGGTTCGCATCCGACCGGATCGAAGGAATTTTTTCTGAGTGTTCGATCTTTGTGTTAATAATTAATTTTCTTTTTTTGTAATTTTGATTACAATCGTCCCTTATTTTTTTTACGTCATCAAGTGACGGGAACCTAGTGGTAAGCGCCACGCCTACCTCTAACAGTTGCAATGCTCTCAAAGCTTTAAATCGTAACACATAAAGTTGACAAGTCCAATGTGCCTGTAGACCTAAACCTTCAAAACCGGAACTTGGTAGCAGAAAAACAGTGGCGAATAAAAACTACCAATAACATTTCAACAACAATATATTCAAACAAACAAAATCAAACACTACCACACACAACCGAATAACAGAAATTCTTAAACAACAACGGCATCTCGTCATCCGAAATGAAATTTCTGTCCGGTCTAACACTTGAAAAGGGATTATACGTAGGTTCGGATATCATGTTTATTTCCACTTCTGAACATTGTTCAATTTTCGCCAAATCCCTCCTGAGTTCTTCCAACGTGTAAGAAGTAACAACAAAAGGAACTTTTTGCTTCGTGATGCATTTTATTGTCGACGGCCACGTGTCCTTTCCGTTGTAAACTGATGACCGTTGAATACTCGGATTGAAGGCACAAACTGGAAAAAAATACTATGCACTAGTATGGATCGTATAGAATGAAAAACATTTTCGGTATTGTAAAGTATATGAATCTTACTTCAAAGAATACCTAATTAAATTACAAATACTGTATCAGCGAAATTGACGATTTGTTTAAAAGCATAAGGATCATTTTAGCTTGCTTGTTCTTGACAAGAAGCAGTGTTAAAGAATTTGATCGTAATTTCTAACACAATATCTGCTTGCAAAAAATCTGTTTTGTGCTGTTTTGAGAAGTCTTCAACTTTGCACAGTCCAGATCACATTAAATTTGACACTTTGGCCTGTTCTTATTGCAAACGACTTAAGAGTTGAATTTAAATTTCAAATATCAAGAGTGACGTAGTTTTGATCATGTTTAAGATATTGCCTTCCTTTCAAATTTGTACTTGAATTCTGTTATTGCCTTTTTCATTCTTGTCAAAGAATATGTGATTTAACACTACTACAAAACCACGTTACTGTTATGGTATGCCATAAATATTTATTTACCCAAATCAGGGGTAGTGAAGTCAGTAGACCAGTATTCGTGGTAAGTTTTCTTGTCTTGGAAGTCGAATATGATGCGACGATTGTCTTGCCGACAGCTCTCACACAACCTGCAAAAAAACGATGAAAAATAACTCTATTACCAAATCGAGAAAGATAGATTGTGAACAAGTGTAAACCTATTAAAAATTAAATAACAACTAGTAGCTGAGAAGTAAAAAGTTTTATAAACTAATAGCTTGCCCATAAATGGCCCCACTTCTAATGGACCTTAATCTCAAAAACAACATTCTGACGGAAATCACAAAATAAGTAAACATAAATAAAAATAAATATTGAAGAATACTCACTTAATCTTAGCTAGTAAATCCAGCGGTAGATTCGAAGGGTTCAGCTCCGACCCAATTAGCACCAAGCGAAGGTCCTTGACGTCGCGTTTTAGATGAAGGAAGAAGACTTCCCACTTGTGAAGAGCATCAGCTTCGAATTGCAGCTCTGCGCCGACTACGTGGATTGTGAAAGTGGATTTCTGCAAAGCATACACAAACAGCAAAATTAAAGCAGAATAAAAGTAAAATGATTATATAAATTTGAATCCCGGCAGATCTCAATTATTAATGATCACTACGTGTTGACTCAATATAACGGAAGAAGTAGACGTCTTCGAAGAATCTAGTTCGTAATCATCAATAATAACGGGTCTCGTCTTAGGCGGGACTTTAGGTCATAAACCGCCACCCTGAACGAATTGGCGAGTTGGGAATTTCACACGTTTTCCAAGGGTTGTGAACCATCTTCGACGTGCAGGTTTGGTCAATGTTTTCATTCGCGGAAAAGCTCATGGTAAATTTCAAATTAAATTTCACACATAAATTCCGAGAAACTCAAGAAGTGCGAGGCGGGGATTCGAACTGACGGCCTCTAGAAGCAATAGGTCAAACCATTATGCTACCACGGCGCTTTAGAGTCTAGTTAAGAATTATATATAACATTTAGCCAACAAGCAAATATAATATAAACCTTGGCCATATCAGTGGCACTGCCAATCTTGGTGGCATAAAGTTGATAGCAATAAGCTGCTGTCAAGGGCGCTGTGGCAATTTGAGTCAGTGCGGCATATTGGATATCGTTCATATCTGAAAAAGAAAGATTATTGACATGAAAAAAAAGGATTTCTCTTTCAAAAAGGTTCTAGTTCAAATTTATATAAAAATTAACTTGTAACTGTTGACGAGCAATACCTAAATGGATACCACATAATATAGGGACATTGACTACAGGGAACATACTCGTACGTTTATTCAAAAAGGGGAATAGACAGTCGATTTGGCGATCGCACTCAAGCTGCGATGTATTAAAGTGGAATACTCTTGCATGTCTCCATTTATTCCTTAGTCACTTTGTTTCTACTTCTATTAAAATGGATATTTTATAATACCTACCAATCCTTTCCTCATACATAGTAGCTAGTATCTCATTCATTTTTTCTGGGATCTGATAGGCCTCGGTCATGACCTTGCCAGGCAGCTTCGGCTCCAACCGGCCACTGGTCTGCTGGTACGTCACCAGCTTCTGGTAAAGTGAATAGGATTTGCACCAACGCTGGTGTGTCTTTGGGAGATGGTTTGGGTTGTCTGCGCAATAGGCTATCTGGAACAAAAAACAATGTACCACAGAATTAAACCACATTCACGCAACCTAGCAGATGTGAGCAATCACCAACATCAATTGTTGAAATTTGCTATACGTGACACAGTTGAGCAAGGCTCTCTTCCAACGAAAGAATTAAGAGCATAATCTACCACATAGGCCCAATACGGTTTGGGGATTTCATTCATTTTCCAATGTCGTAAGTCTCCTTCGACGTGCGTTTCTCCACGATGTTTTCGTTCACCGTTAACGAGAGGTATTGGTACTAAACAAATTAAAGTCACAGGGAAGTCGAACACTCAATTAACAGATTCGCGCGAACTACGTACTATGCCACCCCTATACATTTGTAAGTGATGTAGAATAACGTACTTTTACGTTGTCTAATGTCTTTTATTTCGAACGCTGTTTGGTCATATAAAATTCTAATAGTAACGATAAGTAGTCACAGATACCTATGATGGCTGGCATACATGGGCAACGTCAGCGGGCGGTTTGTAGACGTCAATGTTTATTGACGTCAGTATCATTATTTGTTACATTCATTTAATAAATAGCCTGTAGAAGAAATGTTTCTAAACGTTTGCATTAATGTATGAGAAACATATCACGATGCTCACGTGAATATGTTAAGAAGCTACCTTATTGCTGGGCTACCATCGCTACTGTGTAATATCAAAGATATAATTTTATAACAAGTTTATTGTTTTATATTTTTGGTCTGGTGTTTGTGAACATTAAAATGATTTTTAAAATGGTTGGGCTCTCAACACTTCTTAGTCCATTATGTTGTTCCCAATAGGACAATCAACATCAGATTATCATAACTACAAAACAATAAAAAAAACATTTCAATTTTATTACTCAAACAAATCACCCAGAGCAATTATTATGGCTCATAGTAAATAGCAAGCAACTAATTTACTACTATCTTCCTGGCACCGTTCCCAAAATCCGAAATGATTCAAAATCTTGGCTACAACGAGTCATAGTTACACTAATAACCGTGTTTACACTTCTATAAGCCTTTGAAATTATAATTCAGTCAATTAGTTTAAAACTAGCCATGATTTACAAATTCCATATACGTCTCAAGGCTAAGCTCTGGCTCAGGTTATATGTCTCCTATCATAATGCTGCATTAAGCCATACTTTACGTGTTATGGTTCTTTACTTTACTATGATTATTGTTTGCCATGTAGACTGCATGAATATGTTTTCGTTCATCGTTATTAATCGTTGGAAGTGCTTTTCTTATTATATAGTTTCTAATTCTCACCTGTTCACACCCTTCACAATCCTCCAACTTCCCTTGTCTCCATTCCCTGCAATCTACATCAGCGCATATTCTGGGATACAGCAAGGCCTCCTGCTCCCACGGCACCAGACGTCTTTTGAGCACCTTTTCACATGAGACTATCATCTGCATTCGGAGGAGCCGGTAGTTCTGGCCTGTTATGCCTTGAGCGTCGCCGTATAGGTGTTTTTGTTCTGAAAGATTATGTAGTAGTAGTAGTAATTAATACAAATTGACTTTGATTGCAAAAATATAACTTTCACATTCGACAGTATCTGCAGACAAGAGAAGAATTCATACCTATATGTACTATCACATTATACATTATGTACTATTACATGAAGTCGCTGTAAGTCATGATCCTATCTCCGGCTGAAAACAAGAGGTTTAAAACATAATCGTTACCTTTCGGACGGTTAAGCGGTTTCAGTAACGCTGTGATCCATGTGGGTATACACTGTATTCGCTTATGACTGTCAAATAGGTAGGGACGGTTTCCAATTATGAAATCAAAATTCAAGAAAGTTTGTAAACACTCAAAAGTTTCTTAAATTGTTGCTCAAAATCATTAACCGAGTAAAGCTACACTTACTTCAGATAAATATTATGATCCTATTTTAGATATTGATGCAATTACTGTCGGAAGTATGAAGTGAAATTGTCGCTTTGACTGTGATTTATTGATATAACTGTAAATAGTATGTAGTTAGATATGTGAAACCTGCGTTGAGTTATGTTGGAATATAGCATAGGGAAAAACAGGAAACATACAATCAAATGCTTACCCTTCAAATGTGCAATGGTTGATACAGCGAAACACAAGGCTTGATGCTGTGGGTAATCTTCATCCCTATGTTTTGGTCCACAATAAAAAATAAGGTTGCAAAAATTGCATGGAGATCTCCCAAATCTTAAGTCCTTTTTGCATGTATGGCAGGCACTTGGCAGGAAAACTCTTCTAAAACTATATTTATAAATATATTCTTCGTTATCGCTTATTACCGACGAAACCGTTTCAATTATTGTTTTGTCTTTTAAAAATCGCCTTTTGTTTTCCGTCTGTGACTCCTTAGATTGTTTGTTTACTTCTATAGGAACGGAATCCTTTATTTTTACTTTAGCTTGTTTCGTATTTGGTGTTTTATTCTTTTCTTTTTTGTAATCAGTTCTATTCAATCGTGCAGGAATGTCGGGGTGGCCTAGCAAGTTTTTTGGCTGCGAAACTGGGTTTACTTTTTCATTTTCATCTTTTTTTTCTTCGTCTTCTGTAGGTGCTTCTATATTTATGTCTGGATTGTTTTGTACAACACTAGAGTCAACTTCACTGGCAATCATTTCAAAAGTTTTATTCACATCTTCTGTTATATCGTTAGACGTTAAAGCGTCTTCAAAGTTTTCTATAGGTTCAAATTCTCCAGACATCAAACCAGGTAGTTTTAAATCTTGTGCTTGTGTTGTATTATCTTCGAAAGAAGCTGACTGTTGTTTACCTTTCTCTTCCTTAGAATCAGATTTTTGCTCAGCTTTTTCTTTGTTTTTCGAATCTTCTGTTTTTGATTCTTTAGTTTCACTACTTGCAGTACTTGTTATAGTTTCGGTAGCACTTTGAGTACTAGTTACATGTTCTGCTTCTTGTTTTCCCTTCTTTCTTTTATTTTTCCCTTTATTATCTTTTCTAGGTGGCGGAGGGGGAGTAGAGATATGTAAAGGAACGTTTTCAATCGGTATATGTTCTTTGATTTCTATAGTTTTTTCTTTAATTGGAACTGGTAATGATTCTGTTTTAGTTGTACTTGTATTTACATCAGTTTGAATTTGCTCTGTTTTAAATTGATCCAATTTTTTTATACACTTCTGCTCCTCAAATGTAGAGGCTAGAGCTTGCTGTTCTATCACTTCTGTTACTTCTGTTCCTGACTTAGGTATTATATTAGAATCACTTTCCTTAGTTGCAGTTTCTTCTTTGCTTACTGAAGTTTCTTGTTTTAACGCTAAGCTTCTTATAGCTTCAATTTTAGCCTGAGCTTGTTCAAATTTCATTTCAGTTTGCTCTTCACTTTTCTCCATTGCAGTTAACTCTGCCAACGATCTTTCAATGGATTGTCTTAATTCTTCCATATCCTTATTAACTTCAACAACTTTTGATTTCAAATCAGTCTTTACTTCAGGATTTGACTTTGTGTCGACCTCTGTTATTGTAATGTCAGTAGACGAAATTTCAGGTATAGGACTTTCACCGGAACCCTGAATGAATGGCGTATCAGGTGTTACAATAGGAATGTTTAATTTATCTACATCACTCAAAGTGACTTCTCTTATAACCATATTGTTGTTATTATCAAGACTTGTTGCTCTAGGATGATGGACTTCGGGCACAATGTCACAGATCAAACCGGATTCTTCTACATTTCCACCTCTGTTTTCTATATCTTCAAGAAGTGGGAGGTCTAAAGATTCTTTGCTCTCTTGAATATTATCTGTGGAATCTTTTACCGTTACAGTAGTTTTCTGTTCCTTTAATTCCGACTGTTCTGGAGTAAAATCATTTTTTTTTGGTTTAGGTGACTTTTTTCGCTTTTTACCACTTCCGCTTTGTGGCAAAGGCATTTGTTCAAATTTTGATACATCACTTAGCATTTGTGTATCTTTAGTTTGCATTGGCATTTCAGAAACGTCCAGACACTCTACTGGTTTGCTTTGGCTGGGTAGCTCTTTAACAAAACTAGGAGGTATTACTTCCCCCTTAATTGGTTCCTGTTTCTGCTCAGAAATTTCAAATAGTTTGTCTTTTTCTTCGTTATTACTTCGAGGCGGCAAAGCTGGTGCTATGATATTTTCAAACACATTTTCAACGTGTTTTTGTTCTTCAACTGGTTTCATATTATCTTTACTCGTCATTAGTGCTGACTGTGCTTGAGGTGAAGTCTGAGTTAATACCATTTCTACAGGCTCAATCGTAACTGGTGCTTCACTAATTTCAAGTTTAGTTTCTAAAACAGTCTCTTCAGTTTTAATAACTTTTTCTTCACTTTTTTCCACCATGTCCTCCTTAGGAATAATATCATCAAATTCACTTTTTACGTCAAGTGAAGTATGCGTTACTTTTGAGGGCTTTGGAGATTTTTTGCGTTTCTTTCTCTTTTCTTGAGGGACTTGCATTTGTTCAGTTGGCTGTTTATCAGTTTTTGATTCTTGTGCCTCACATTTCATCTCAGTTTCTATTTTAACTTCTTCTTTTGAGATTTCTGGTAATTGCTCTGTATTTTTTTGAGATTCAGTAACTTCGATATTTAACTCAGTGGTTGGTGTTCCCATTGTTTTCGTCGCTATTTCTTCATCTTTTTTTGGTATTACTTCAATATTGTGACTTACATCTTCTATATATTGATTGTCACTCATCTCTTTTAGTTTTTTGCCAACAGGTTTTGCAATCTTTGCTTTTGGTTTAGGATCCTTTTCCATTTGTATTGGAGGCGGTTGTATTGCAGATGGACTTTTTTCAATAGTTTTAGTCTCCGTAATTTTAGCAGTTTCTATTTGTTGCACTTGTATGTCAGTATCGGGTGTCTTTAGGGACTTTTCTTCAGTAGTTTTGGGGATCACCTGTTTCATTTCAAGCGTTGGAGATTTCCCTTCGTCAATTAATATATCTCCTTTTAGAGCACCGATTTCCGACTTATCTTCTGGGTTATCAACTGGTTTGAAAATCTCAAGATTCTCTACACAAGATTCAAACTTAGGACATGCTGTAACTTCAGTTTCAGATTTTGGTGGAAACTTCTTATCTTTTTTATTTTTCTTCTTGCTCTTACCCTCTTCTTTGACGGGTTGATTTGGTTCGTCTAACATGTGTAATGTACACGATCCCTCCTTGATTTCAATATTTACAACAGTTTGTTCTTGTTCTTTTGGGGTGTCTTGGGATACTGACAATTTTATGTCAACTTGTTCATCTTTCTTGATGTCTTTTCCATCGTCTTTAGGCTCAAGTAGTTTTTGGAAAGCAGCAGTACAACTGAGTACTTCCTCTGCCTTATCAGATTTTTCAGAATCGAGCCGCTTCTTCTTTTTGCTCTTCTTCTTTGATTTACCGTCCTCAGAGCCATCGGTAGCAACAGGTACAAGGTTTACTATTTTCAAATCAGGCATGAACTCTTCTTTACTAATCGGCACAATGTTTAGCTTATGTTCATCTTTATTTTCAAGCTGTTGTTCTAGCTGTTTCTTATTCTTGTTTTTCTTTTTTCTAGCTACTGGAGTGACTGGTATTTCAGGAGCATTAGCTGTAGTTTCATCGGTAGATTTGTCTACATTAATTTTGCTTTTATGGGATTCTGTCGAAGGTTCGGCGCTTCTTTCTCTTGATATTTCATCACTTTCATGAACTTTGTCTCCTTTTTTCTTCTTACCTCTGTTTCTTTTGGGCTTTTTTGGAGTATCATCTTCAGACACTTTAGCTTCAATAGGAGGTATAATTTCACTTATAATTTCTGGGACGCGTTCTTCACTTTTGATAATAATTTCAGTTTTTTCTTCCACATTTTTCTCTATTGTTTCAGTATCCACAGGAACATCATCTTTTTGAGAAGGATTTGGAGTTGGAGGTTTACTTGATTTGTTTTTATTTCTCTTTTTCGTATTCATTGTCCACAGTTACACTAGTCACACGCTCACAAAATAACTTTATTTGTAAAGAATATACGTATGTTTTTATTATTTGCTAAGCGAAAGTTTAGACGGACGTCCGTGCCAATCTAAATTCGTTTTCAATCTGGACGAATTCAAATACCACTTTATTCTTGTCTTCAAATGTTCACGTGGGAACTCATTAAATGTCACATACCATCATTTTATTACTTAGTCTTTGTTACAACCACAAAGAGTCTATTTCACTTCAGCACTTTGATCAATTAGAACAACATTTTTAAAGTCAAGTTTCTACAGTCTAAATTCATACTCGTTAAGGTTTAATTTAGGTTAATGTGAACGCAAGAACATTTTGTTTTACAAGAGTATTTAGCATGAGGAAGTGCAAGCTTGCCAAATGCACTTTTCGTTAGGAACGGAGCTAAATATAATGTTATAACATCTAGTACAGAGGTTTTCAACTTATGGACCGTTGGAGAATTACATAATTACTAAGCCACAAACAAGTACCACACGCCTATAAATAACTCGTACTTTTTCCTGCTTTATTTTGTAAATATTTTTCGTATTAAGTATATGGACTACTTAACTGCGTCTACTTCAAGGTAATTTGACTTTAGTAGTATTAAATATGCTAGTAGCTTTGATGTAACATTTGGAACAACACTCTGTTACTAGATAATTTAAAAAACATTTTAAACAGGCACGAATAATGGAACACTTTTTAAATTCTTTTGCACAGACTTTACAAAACTCGCGTGCGGATTACAGTAGGCGTTGAAAGCGATTGTTATTTTAAAAACCTTCCACAATATCTTGTAGCAAATATAGAAAGAATGTAGGCCAGGCGTTCACCTCAAGATGTTCGACCTAAATTGTTTATGCTTAGGATGGACGATTCATTTTTCTTTTAATAAGAAAAAGCAAAGATGTAATTACACAAGATTGTCGTTTTTCAGAACAAGAAAATGCCCAATCGAAAATATAAGTTTGAAAAAATATTAACTAACTTTGAGATTGTAGCTTTTCAATGTCATGGATATTTAATTTTCCATAACTTAAACAACTTCAAAGTTTGCTTATCTGCTTTTATTGTATTCGTTACATTTATGTAACAAGTTTTATTGAAATCGGTTAACGGAAAATGGGTGAAATTAAACCTGGTTTATCCCCAAATTTGCCACCCTTAGAGGTGGAGTATTTTCTTCAAATTTAAATGAGACCACTACTGAGGTACCCCCTTTCCAACAAAAAAGAATAATCGAAATCGGTTCACAGACGTCGGAGTAAACGCAAAAAAACAGTCGAATTGAGAAACTACTCTTTTTTGAAATTGGTTAAAAATACGACAACGCCTTTTAGTTACAAAAAAATCTATAGCACAATCTATTTTCGTAAATTGGTTTAACCGACAATCGAACCCTAGTCATTCTTCTATAATACCCAGAGAGCTTAATGTCTCAGACACAGTGAACAATGACAACTTGGTCTATATTGCAGTATACATTTTGGGTTTTGGTTCAATTCCCACCGGAGAACTGCATTACTGTCTATATTAAATCATTTGTAACTGTTAGTACCTACCTATAATTTGTTATAATGGAGAAGAAATACACCGAAGAGAGAGAAAGTGATATATGCAGTATCTATAATGTTAAGTCATCAACCCGTGTTGGACGAGTGTTTATAACTTAGCCCGAAAATCAGAGATTCAGTTTTGAAAAATGTGCTGGTGAAATTATAAGGCACATGGGACTTGTCAACTTATGTCTCTGGGTGACGTGGCACTGCAACTGTTATAGACAGACGTGTCATCTACCTCCACTATTGAAAAACAATGACATCACTAATTGACTACCTACAAAAACATAATCTTCAAATTAATTTAACTAAAACTAATATAATGAATTTTAATAACTTACGAACACAGACAATTGACATGGATTATAAAGGACAAATCTTGCGAAACGAAACCAATGCGACATTTCTAGGATTAATTATAGACCAAAAGATGAATTGGAGGGATCAAACGGACAAAGTATGTGCGAAAATAAATAGGTTTGCGTTTGCTCTTTACAAATTGTCAAAAGTAGCGAATAAATGCACAGCCATGACTGCCTATTTTGCGTATGTTGAGTCTGTACTCAGATACGGTATCGTAATTTGGGGCAACGGAACAGATTTTGCGAAGGTTTTTACTGCTCAAAAGCGATGTATATGTGTCATAAGCAATGTAGCACCGTATGTCTCATGTCGTCCTTACTTTAAAACACTAAGAGTATTGCCCCTCCCATGCCTGTACATTTTCGAAGTTGGTATATTCGTGAAACGAAATCTATCGAAATTCTCAATAGCGAAGGACGTAACATTCAGAAGCCTAAGGAAGCCCAATAAAGTAGTACTAAATACAATACCCAAAACAAAACGTTTTCTAAATAACTCGTATGTAATGTGTGGAAAAATTTTTAATCGTATACCAGATCGCATTAAGCCTCTACCATTGACTAATTTGAAAAAGGAATTGCGCATGTGGCTCTTTGATCATTTGTTTTACTCTATTGACGAATTCATGAATCATAAAGAATAATTAATTGATGCATACATTTTTCCCATCATTAAAAAAAATATTATTATTATTAAATTATGACATACACGATTCTGACATATCAAATTAAATGAATTATCTTAAATTTATCAATTTGTTGCCTAATTATTGTTTTAAAATCGAATCTCAATCCACCAATGTATTATTTTATTATTGTATTTGCATGCTTTTATTTTAGAAGGCGAATAGGTTTAAGTTCTGATTTAATTTTTACCATCAACATGTGTAATGTACCCTACCCTATTTGAAGCGAATAAATGAATTATTATTATTATTATTATTATTATATTCGTCTTGTCACATAGTATCATAAAAAATGTGTCCATTGCGCAAGTGGAAAACACACGACGTAATTACGCCTTTTCCACCAGGCTCATTTTTCTACGCACCGAGTATTGACCCGCACGTCAAGGTAGATAGATGACAAGCAATAACTTTTTATACATAACGTTCTATATAGGATTCAAATGCCTACACGAATATCAATAACACTAAATCTTTATCTGTATTGTTTGTATGTATGTATATAATATACTCTATTAACATATGTCTAGGTTATGTGTACGTGTAGTGTAATGACATGATATTGAGTTACCATGAGACAAACAGAGCGATAGTAGCCCAGCGGGAGACGGTTATATCAGAGGTTCCCAAATTTTTTCGTCTCGTAGACAACGTCCCATTTTTTCTGTTTTGTGTAAACCCCCTGGCCTTTCTTATTTGGATACTTTTACAAATTCATCAACCTGAAATGTATGTTTGACAGCTGACACAGTGCTAGTGAAAAACTTTGTAAAAAACAATTGATGTTAAATGTTATACAATCAAATTGGTAATTTATGGGTTTTTTTTTATTCTAATGTAAGTAAGTGCATTTGACCTCCATCTCACCTGATGGAAAGTGACGGTTAGGTCGACGACGGAGCATGCACACCTAAATAATGCCTACTCACTTTCGCCTTGAAAAGGTCCAAGTTATAACGTTCAGGGAACAAGTCTGCAGGCAGGGAACTCCACTCCATAGCCGTTCGCCATATAAATGTGGAAACGTTACGCTTGGTGCGAATCTTTTGAATATCCACATAGGGGTGTAAGCCAAGTCTACGCCTAGTCCCCCGATGATGGAAAGGGGAAGGCGGAATTAAATCGTGTAAAATACCGATAAGCAGGCAAGTTTACGGCGGTGTTCAAGGCTCTGCAGCTTCGCCTCTACTAATTCCGAGTCCCCTATAAGCCTCTTGGCACGTTTGTCAATTGAATCCAAGGTGGCCAGTTGGTATGTAGCAGAGCCATCCCTAAGGTGGCAGCAGTACTCCATACACGACCGGGCTTATGCTTGGCACAGCTGAAGCAACTGTCCCGGTGTGAAGTAACGCTTCACCCTGGAAAGGATGCCAAGCTTCCTGGCTGCATTTTTGGCCATGGATTCAATGTATCTACCGAAATTCAGATTGGACGACAGGTCCATTCCAGGTAGCTTGAGAAGGTCGGCTATCGGTATGGATATATCACGAAAAGTCGGAGTCAGCTCAAAGGGACTCCGTTTAGTGGAGAATAGACACGCCTGCGTTTTGGTAGCGTTAAATTTGACAAGATTGGCATCGCCCCAATGAGAAACTGCCTTGAGCGTCAAATGTAAACAGCTAACCATGGACTCTCGACAAGACTGGATTTCCTCTCCACTGACCCTTGCATTGGTCAAGTACCTATCTACAACTGTGCTGTCATCAGCATACGCAAAGGTACCTGGAATTAACATATCATTGATATGCAGCTAGGATCCGAAGTGACAAGAATAAAAGAAGTTGTATGAAAAGGGTACTTGATGTATATGAAGCTCGAGAAATATGTCAGGATAGAGCAAAGTGGCGTTCCGTGGTCTCTGTCTACCCCTCCTATGGTACTAGGGCGTGAGCTTATGTATGTAAGTATGATATGCAGCAGAAAGAGAGTTGCAGACAGTACGGAGCCCTGAGGAACTCTATCGCCATATGTTCGGAAGAGTAGCCTTCTAAGATCACTCTAATGGAACGTTCACTCAAAAAATCCGAGATCCATTGCAAAGGTCAGTGGGAAACCCATAACATGGAAGCTTGCTTAAAAGGCTTGCGTGCCAGACCCTGTCAAAGGCTTTAGAAATGTCCAAAAACATTGCAAGCGCTTCGCCTTGCTTTTCTACAGCCTCGCTCCATATGTGACAGGCATACACAAGATCCCCGGTAGATCACCTTCATCGGAATCCATACTGGCGATCACTGAGGAGGTCATTGTCTTCAAGGTGTTATAGAAGACGGTTGTTGAGTACACGTTCCATAGTCTTGCAGAGTATGAAAGTTTATAATGTCAGGATGTTTGGCCACCATCATATTCAATTATTCTTTGTGAAATTACTCCGCTAGTTTGTTAT